ACGTTTCCTGATAATACATTGACATTCACAAACAGTAGATTGCACTGCAGTTTGTAAATATTTTAAGTTCTCCTTGAATTTCAAAGATAGTATAATACTGTCTACTAAAACTCCTTTCTGTTTCAACTAAGTACTCTCACATATATTAGTTTATGATAATGCTTGTTATTATTTTTGAAAGTGTTTTCCATTCAAGGAAAAGAAGTAAATTCCTATGTCAGAGTAACCAAGGTGGTTGAAGAATAGGTATTAGCTAGAGAGGTCTAGATGGTAAAATCAATCTTCAAGTCTCAAAGAAGCTCCATGAACAGAGAGGAATGCCAGGTGCCACACAGCTTTCCTTCACTCTCAATCATTCTTGACTAGAGCCTGTATGCCTGTTCCAGGGACATTTAAACTCGTAAAGGATTTCTTATGATCTTTACTACATACATTAAGAAGAATGCCAGCCAGCGCCCTTTTGTGTACTGGGACATGTAGTCATGTGATTAAAACAGGTAACATGAACTCTGATTTTCAAATGTATTACAGATACAAATGTTCTAAGCAAGAAAGGTTTTCCACATCCACAGTCAATGACAGGAGCCTTTCATTCCTCAGAAATAACCCCTTTTTAGGTCATCGAGAAAGAGCACAACTGCTGCAGCTCATGATGCAATATCTTCATGAGCCCAGAGCACATACAAATCCTGAGGGAACTACCATAGTACGGCGCTCATTCTTGGCACCAGAACAAATGAAACACACTCTATCCCGCACACACCTGCCAGAGCAGGCCACTTTCCTCTTCTGTGAGATTTAAAAAGCTCCCCCAAAATATTATTACTCCCATCACCAATACACAGAAAATGGGGGAAAGGCTGTTTCCAGTTCTCGGCCTTTAAACAACTCTAAATGTCAGTACTCACAGTGGCATATTACAAAGTAATAAACAGTGCACACTTGAGGGCAAACCGCATATTGAGCTAATGAAGAGCTCACTGATTAAGATTAGATCAAACATAATAGCAGAACATAAGCAAATTTTATCGGAATTCTGTAATAAACATACATGCTGCAATAACATTAAAAAAGCATGGCAGCCTATTCCAAACCAGCGAGAACAGTTTTGTGCAAACAGTGGGTCTTTGGGTGTTTGAACTCCCACCATGTAAGGGCAAACTCGATATGCATGCTAATGACCTACAATTATGAAATTAAAAACGAAAAATGCTAAAGGATGCCAGAGTGAACCTCAGTGAAGGCCACAGAGACCCACTCTCCTTTAACTTTTTACAAATAAACTTAAACTATAAATTAGAAACACAAATAAACATGAATAGCTCTAATATTCGAATGAAGTAAATGAATTGTGTAGGAGATTAACCCTATAACTTTGTTTCTTTTTAAAAAATTTCTCGATCAACTCTTTGATGATGGTGATATTTATCTCCTTCTTCTCCGCAGCCAAGCCCAGCAAAAGAATGGCACAGAGCGGTTGCTGCCCAAGCCTGGGTGCTCCTGGTGGTCCTGCATGATGGGCTGTGCAGTAGGGTTGTCCTGGGGAGACCCCTTCTTAGCCTCTCCTTGCGCAGGCTGGGCGCTGTCGGTGAGGCTCACCTCATAAAGATCTTTGGAGAGAGGGAGGCGGGGATCTGAGCACAGTGCAAACCCCCTGCTCCCGCCTGCCCGCCCTGCATGAGGGCTCTACTCACCACCATGCTGGTCGGCAGCCCCAAGCTCCTGGGGGGTGGGGCTTTCTGGACCGGGCCTCCATTAGCAGGGGTTTGGGCTCATTGCAGGGTTTCTGGCTCATTAGCAGGGTTCCTGGCCAGCGGCCAGGAATTTCTGTGCCCCTTTGTTGCGGTGAGCACAAGCTGCAGCAGCATCCCCTGTAAGCTCCATCAGCTCCACCTGGAGGGAGGGTGCTCAGGTGTCAACACCCCACCCCCACCCCTGACCCCTACCCCTGCAGGGATGTTGCACACCTACCTTCTATCTCGTCGTCTTGGCCAGCCTGATGATGTCCTCCCCCAGTGCCTGCCTCTTTGGCACTGCCCTCTGGCTCCGTATAAGGTGAGTTAATTTTCCTGCGCGAGACAGGCTCAGACGCTGGCCTGACGGCCTGCAGCTCCACCCTGCCTTACCCTGGCCTCCACTCACTGGATGGGCATCTCTCCCTCCAGTACTGGACGAATAGCAGTTCTAGTTTCTCCACATGCTCCCTCAGGTCCGCCTTCTCCTCCAGGAGATCCATAAGGCCGCTCTGGAATCAAAATAATGGGGTCACCTCTCAGCAGCGACCTGCCTATCCCTGCCCTTCTTGGCCTATTCCAGGACTCACTCACCTCCAGCTTCTCCATGACTTCCTGCAGGGCCCAGGGGGTCTCCTCACTCACAGACTCGCCCCCAGTCCCTGGGGCTGGGACCGCTGCCTCTGGCTCCTTCTGGGTCGAGGTTACTGTCTCCACCTCACGCAGCTTCTCCTACAGCTCTTCGACTTGCTGCTCCAAGTGCAGTGCGCTCTTGTTCTCGTTGTTCTGAATAGAGAGAAGCAATCAGTAGTCACCCACTGCAGTTGGAGACCCTAGAACTTGGTGTCTGCCTCCCATGGCACCGAGAAGAGTGGAGGCAGGTTAGAAAAATCATCTCCTCTCTCCCACAGCCACCAGAGCAGAGCTCTGGCTCACAGGTGCCTTTAGAAGTAACATTTCACATGAGGGCTACACTGCCCCCTTTTACAGGTGGGGAAACAAAGGCCTGGAAGGCTAGGGAGGAGGGCAGGCTCCCCAGGTGGGGCAACGCACCAGCTCCTCAACGCCACTCTGTGGCTCGGCTAGCTGCTGAATTCTCTCCTCCTGCTTTCGAAGCCTCTCTTGCTGCTCCTGAAGCCTCTCCTCCTGCCTCCGAAGCCTCTCCTTTTGTGCCTGGTTCAGGAGACTTAAGTGCTGATGGTTTTCCACCTGGGCCTGGAGCTCTGCTGACACTCTCTCTAGTTCCTTCCTCAGGTGCTGCAGCTCCACCTCAGAGGGCACTGCTAGGGGCTCCGGGTGCAGAGGTTCAGCTGAGAAAGGAAGCAGGCAATAAGGGCCTCTAGATTCTCAAAAACCAAAAACAAAAACAAAACAAAAAACAACAACAAAAAAACACCCTCCTCTTGGTGCACAGCTCCTCTCAGGCTCCCCAAACTTGGCCTCACTGCTAATGATTCCTTGCACCCGCATGGTAGCCAATCTTCCAAACCACTTTCAGATGGAGAGCACTGTGGGTGGCTGACAACGGGCCCTCTTTGCTGATGGGGACACTGAGGCTCATGGAGATAACAACACTTGCTGTCTCCCGGCACAGACCTCTTTCCCTCTGCCTCAAAGCCCTTCCATCCACCCACCTCCCTGGGACATTCTAACCCACCCACACAGCCCCCTCTCATGCCAGGCCTGCTCCCAGGTCATGCCAGTCCCATCTTACACCTCTGGTTTTTGAGTTGGGACAAGCTCCTCTCCAGCTTCTCCACCCGATGCATATCATGCTGCTTCTCCTTCTTCAAGGTGCAAACCTGCCCAAAGCACAGCGGGAAATGGCCCTGGAGAGAGGGGCTGGTGGCTGGACAGGCTACCATCTCCCTCTCTGCCCCCACCTCCACAAAGCTCAGACCCATGACCACCTCTGGCTGTACTATTCCCATGTTACAGATGCCCAGAAAGATCCAGTGACCTATCTAAGATGGGCAGGCTGAAGGGTCAGATCTCACCTCCTGTGACATTTTCCTCATCTTCTCCTGCCACTGGGCCCTCTCTGCTTTTATATGTTCAGCATATTCATCTCTCTCTAGCTGGACTTGTTTAAGTGACTCCTTCATCTGCAAGAATGGGAACAGAAGTTATGAAGGGCTGTCACTGGTCCTCACCTGCTCCTGGCCACCTGTGGTCATCTTCCTTCCATATCCTCCCTCTGCAAAACCTCACCTGTGTCACGTGCACTTTCAGCAGTGCCCGCTCCTGTAAGGACTGCTCTAACTGCATCTTGAGAAGTGTTTTACTGCGGTTCAAGGACTGGATGGTGAAGAGTGAGAAGTTTCTATCAGGGGAACCTGGGCCATTCCATACAGTGCCCCTTAAACAGGCTAGGGCTAGGCTCAATATACAACTCGGTCAGTACAGATCAAGGCATTTACAAGCCCATGGTCTGGTTTTTAAAAGAACTCAGTAAAGTTGGAAGGGACAGGGAAAGAGATTGAATTTACAGGTGGCTAACGGAGGCCCAGAGAGATCAGTTAATATTGCTATTGTTATTACTGTTATTACTAGCAATGTTCGAACCTTTATGGCGTGCTTCACCAGGTACCATGCTAGCAATCCCATTTAATCCTCACAACCACCATACGAGACAGTTACTATGATTCCTTCTATTGTGTAGATGAAAACACATGGAGTACTTGAGGTTAAGTTCTTGCCTAAGATCACTTAGGCAGAGCTGGGATTTGAACAGCCAGATCCACCCGATTCTCTGAAGCCCATTTTTCTTGCTGGGGGTCACAGATAGGAAAGGGACAATGAATCTTTTGTTCACTGTTTGAAAGGATGATACATTCGCATAGTCCAAAACTCAGAAGGTACAGAAGGGAAGTATCTCCCAGCCACACTCGTGCTCTCTCCTGAATTTTTTGTGAACCCTTGTAGACTTATTTTATGTATATTTTCATAGTATGTACACACACACACAGACACACACGTTTCCTCTCTACAGAAATGGTAACATACTAAAGGTACTCTTCTGTACCTTCACAGTTCAAGTACCCAATACCCCACCTAGGACTTGGCCAAGATCCCAGCCAGGTAAGGGCAGGGCAGGCACTTGGCCTCCAAACTCTGCATCCAGTGCTCACTCCCCACCGCACCCCCCAACTCACCCACAGCAGCTGACTCAGCCCCAGGCTGCTCTAACAACCAGACACAAAAGCAGCAAGAAATGGCCATGATGCCTTCTGGGCAGGACACTCCATCCTGCAGAAGGGACCTTTAGGCTCACTCCTCCATGTGCGAAGCCGGGCTCCCAGGAGATGGGGCAGGTGGTCAGACTCACCCTGTCCGCCTTCTTCTTCTTCTGTGTGGCGGCGACAGCAGACAGAGCCCGCTCTAACTCTTCCGTACGCTGCGATGAACGTTGCAGGCGGGCAGCCAGATCCTTCGACTCTTCTGTAATGAGAGAGTTGAGATGGGGCCCAAAGGACTCCCCCTAAAGACCTATCAAAGTGCCAGGTTGAAGGATGATAGGGTGCCCAGATTCCCACCTTCAAAGTACATGAGAGAGCGTTTCGTATGATACAGGTCTATAGTTAGTTTCCTTTTCTGTATGTTCAATCTCTGGATTTGAGCCTTTGGGAGAAAAGCCAAGCAAGTGCTGAAAGAGAAGGAAAGAAACATTCTCGGGAGGACAGGAGAAAACTTCACACCCTCCACTCACCTCTAGCTCCCTTTCGGCTTTCTGTTTCTCATTGTTTGCCTTCTTTTCCTATAGGAAGAGGAAGACAGAGCTCTTACCAGGGGGAGGCAGAGATGGCACAGCAAGAGACAGGCCCCCAGAATGCCACCAATGCCCCAGGACAGGCCCACCCATGAGACCAGGTTATCAGGGACCCTGTGGGGATGGGGTGGAATCTGAAGGGTGAGCCTTCTTCCCCAGGCTGGGAGTGGGCGAGACGAGACTGGGGCATCTACATCTGAGTGCCCCCCAAACCCAGCCATCATGTCGTGAGCAAAGAAATCGCGTTACTTCTTCCAGCTGATGTTCCACTTGTTTCTTCTGTTGTTTCTGTTGGGAGAATCAAATTAAGGTGATGGAGGGTGGCCCCCTCAACTCTATTCCCCAGGCCAGGAAGCGGTAGGCAGGGCCAGGAATGGATTTTAAAGGCAAAGTTCTCAGACCCAATGGGAACACAAACTAGTAAACTCTCCTGAAACTCCCAAGGACAGAGGATTTGGGTCTTTGTCTTTGTTGCTTTTTGCCCACAGCCACAGAACTCAGTGTGAATCTGGAATCTCTTGAGAGGACAGGAACATAAACCTCTAGAGATGGAGTTTGAGAAAGGCCCCCCTTCTGCCCGCTTGTGATTTAGAAAAGTGCGTTCATTCAATAAACATTTACTGAGCACATATGGGTCAGGTACGGTTCTTCAGTATATATAGGATGGAAAAGGACAGACAGAAGCCCTTGGCCCTGAAATTTCCGTTCTAGGGAGCCTTTACATCTCAGACTCTCAGAGCTAACAGACACCTTTGATACTCACTACCTCCTCTGGAAACACAAGCCCAAAAAGGAGAGGCAGCTTGTCCAGAATCAAAGAGCAAATTAGGGACTGAGTCACGGCAGAAATACGGAGCCCCTGACAACCAGTCAGGCTAGCACTTCCCCGAGGGGCAAAAACCCCAGGGTGTGTGTAGCAAGGACTCGAGCAGGGGTGTGTGGAGAGGAGACAGTCGGCAAAGAGGGCAGCAAAAGAAGAGCCATGCTGCATGCTCTGGGGTCCCTCCAGGTGAGGTCTGGGTGCCTCAGCTCCCTATTTGCCCTTTGCACCAGGGCCCCTAGCCCCTTTCTTCAGAGCCCCAAGAGGAAACTGGAGCCCAGGATTGGCAGCCTGGAATCAGGGGACCCCACTGGACTCTTACCAAAGATTTGATGGTGTTATTCAGTCGACTGATTTTGACGGACCTTGAGTCAAGGACTACTGCTTGTTCTTGGCACAGGTTCTGAGGTGCATGCAGAGAGGAGGAGGTGGAGGAGGAGTTGGGGGAGAGGTAGAGAGAACAATCATTAGGGCTGGGGTGTGTGTAGGCTGTCTCAGCTAGCAGAGGGGCACCGAGTCCCTGCTGCGGAAGGAGGTTGGAGGGCTGGCCTGCCTGGTCACTGCACCTCCACCCAGAGCCTCCTACCTCCAGATCCTTCAGGGAAGCAGATGACATAGGGCCCGCCCCGTGGATACCTGTTGCTGACTACAAGAGAGTACACATGGACATATTCTGTTCCCCTCAGTGTCTAAGCCCTCTGACTTCCTTTCATTCACATCAACTGGCAACATTTTCTTTTCTGTCTCTCTTGGACCCTTTGTCCCATAACTACTTCGTGCCAACTTCTCTCATGGTTATTTCCCCACCATTCCACCCTGGGGCCTGAAATCACTGACTCCTGATGGCAAGTGGCTGTTCTCATTGTCCTGGCTTCCCCTTGAGACTGGGGATGAGGAAAATCAAAGAGCAATGACCATATCCTGGGTGCGCTGAGTGTTTACAGCAGGCCATGTACTAGGGATTAACATAAAAACAACAATAACAAATCTCATTTAAACCTCACAAATGGAAGTCAAACAATAGAACCTCTATTATACAGATGTAAAAAGAGAGGCCTGAAAAGCTCAAGCAGCTTGCCCTAAATCATATCCCTAGCAGACGGCAAGGCAGGATTCAAACCCAGAATTCGGTTTTTTTTTTGCTTTTTGTGAGACAGAGTCTTGCTCTGTCTCCCAGGCTGGAGTGCAGTGGCGAGATCTTGGCTCCTGCAAGCTCCGCGTCCAAAAAGCGAAAAGAAAAAATAGGTTCCATGCCATTCTCCTGCCTCAGCCTCCCGAGCAGCTGGGAATACAGGCACCCACCACCATGCTGGCTAATTTTTTTGTATTTTTCAGTGAAGACGGGGTTTCACCATGTTAGGCAGGATGGTCTCAATTTCCTGACCTTGTGATCTGCCCGGGGTGGTCTCCCAAAGTGCTGGGATTACAAGTGTGAGCCACTGTGCCCAGCTAAACCCAGAATTCTTAACCAGTACCCAACAGTCCATCCACAATCTTAACAATTACCCTCTACTGCCCCTTCAGCCCCCTGTCCCCAGGAGCCTGGCCACCAACACTCACATCCCCAGGTGAGTGGCAACCATCAGAAGTGGATGTCTCTGGGTTACTGCCATTCATTTTCCTGTTACTCTTTGCTTCTCCTGGAACAGCAGGGCTGTTTCTCTGCCAACATTCTTTTAACTGTGGGAAAGAAGAGCAGTAATCATCATGAGAACTATCGGCCCCTACAGCCACATCCTCCCTTACAGTTTTTACAAAATACTCTTATACACCATCTGATTTAACGACACCAACCACTGTATAATAAGTGTTGTCACAATCTTTTAGGGACTGAGAGGGATTGATATCATAGCTAGAAAAAAAGAAAAAAGAAAAAGAAAAAGGCGATACTGGAACTTTGAAACTCAGTCTTCTGACTCCAAGCTCTGGGGTCTTGCCAAGAATCAGCAGCTGCCAGGGACCAAAACCAGAGGCAGAGCTAGAAAAGTAAACATTAAGTAGGCAGGAACTGTATGCCCTGTGGTTTAGAGTCATACATCCTCACACGTCTGTTAGTGTGAAGAAGTGCACCAGTACCTCTCAAACTTCTATATCAATGTGTCCTCACGGCAGAAGGCAGCCTTTCCGTAAAATCCCGGAATTTATCAGAAAGAGGACTACCCAGTCTCATTTCAGAGAGAAGTCTGGTATTCTCTTAGAAACCTATGTGACTGTCATCCCTAAGTATATTCATGTTTTTTCTCTTGATCTCAAGAGAATCAAGGGAAACTGATGCTTCAGAAAGATGTCTCACATTTACCCTGTGGCACTCAAAGTTCCCCAGGTCAAGATAATACGAGGAAGAGTCAAACTGTCAAGTTCAGTTTCCCAAGATCTATTCCACAGAAGATGAGAAAATCTCACTTCAGAGATGACTGACTGAAGGGCAGTCTGGTCCCAGAACCATAGAGAATTAGAATATGAGGTGGAGAGCTCAGAAAAAAATGTTAAAATCTCTGGAAAGCAGAAGCCTGGGAGAAAACCAAACTAAACCCATTCTCCCCTTGCCACATGGAGGTACGGTCAACGTTTTGCGCTCGCGGGGAAGTGTAGGCTTTCCCCCCCATCAATGTCGATGTTAAGGGAGTGAGGCAGCCTGGAACCTCTTGCTCCTAGGTCCCACAGTCTCCATTCCACTTCCAGCTGGAAATTTGCACTGTGACCAGAGGAACCAGAAATGGGGTGAGAACACTTAGGGGACTGGGTCATAAGAATAAATGCCAGTCTTGCAGTAATGACAGTTCCTAGGCAGACTGTGACATCACTACATTCCACTCCTCCTGACTGGGGGGAGGGACCACATCAGTGCAATGTCCAAGTTACCACTCCACGATGGGGAAGGGAAACACAGGGTTGGGACCCAGGTCCTTGGAGATGACAGTGCAAAGAACCCAGAGAGGTTGACCTTGAGGCAGCAGGAGGGGAGGGCAGAGTCTGCAGCAGGAAGCCTTAGGAGTCACCAGCCCAAAGTCACCCAGGGATGACTGGCAAGGGTGGGGTCTGTGGCTGGGGGACCCAGGTCCTTGGAGACACAAGCCCAAAGAGCCCAGGGAGGTCGAGCTTGGGTCGGCAGGAGGTGAGGGCCTAGTAATGGAGAGGGGAACCCCAGGAGTCACCCACCCAGAGTCACCCTGGAGTGATTGGTGAGGGCAGGGACTGGGCTGATGCTGAAGGGGCAGGGCTGACTGACAAGACTTTTGCGGGGGGAGTCCAGAGGCACCTGCATTGGAGGGCCCTGTCTAGTGTGCCTCAGCAGTGATATGGGCTCTGGCGGTGGTCTTGTCATCAGAGGGGATCTGTAGCTGGGTTGGGGGCCATGACCTGGTGCGTTTTTACCTTTTTCTTGGCTGCGGCTAATCTGTTCTGTGGAGTTTCTTCTGCCATAGCGGAATGGGAAAGGGAGGTGGGGTTGGGGCCACAACAGCGAAATCCCAGCGAGCACTGATCAAGACCTCCAGTCACCTACCAGGCAGCTGTGTGACTGAGCCACAGGAGTGGTAACCAGGGCACCAGTAGAATGTAGAATAGGGGCGTGGCCTTAATGCTCCAAGCCTATTGGTCAAGGAGAAAGATGAAATGGAAAGGGGCGTGGCCAGGCAGCATTGTGTCCAGAGGGACCTGTGGCTCATAAGGAAAGCTACTCATGCACCTGCTGTTCCCACCCACTCTGAAAGAGGGGAGGGGCTGCCCACTCTGGGAGAGGGAAGGGGCCAGCTTTTGCTTTAAAAGCTTTAAAACTTTAAAAAATATATGTGTGCATACTTTATATATAGATGTGTGTCTGTGTGTGTGTATCTATGTGTTCCTCTAGAGCTGTCTTCATTACCTAGCTTCTATGCAAGGTCTATGATTTTGGCCTATATTTTTATCTTCAAATACAGTACAAAAATTACCAGTATTACCTGAACTGAGATACAGATCTTATAAAAATGGAAAATCCATAGCATGCTTGATGATTAATGAAGCAGACTATATTATTCAACTATTTTATAATTCAATAAAATAAAATAATCACAATGATTTCTCTTTTTTGGAAAAACGTTTCTCTTACTCTCCTACGTTATTGTTAAGATTTTTTTCTCAAACAAGAAGCATGTTTAATATCTGGAAAAACACAAAGGTTTTGGGCCAGGTGTAGAGGCTCAAGCCTGTAATCCCAGCACCTTGGGAACCTGAGACAGGTGGATCATCTGAGGTCAGGAGTTCGAGACCAGCCTGGCCAACATGGTGAAACCCCATCTCTGCTAAAACTACAAAAACTAGCCAGGTGTTGTGGTGGGTGCCGGTAATTCCAGCTATTTGGGAGGCTGAGGCAGGAGAATCACTTGGACCCAAGAGACGGAGGTTGCAGTGAGCCAAGCCTCACGCCACTGCACTCCAGCCTGGGTGACAGAGCAAGACTGCATCTCAAAAGAAATACAATACAATACGAAATAAATTTTAAAAGCTTTCAATTTAATAAGCACTCAAAGCTCTTTACTGGTTTAAAACAAATACAAGGCCCATTTTTCTAGAATCACCTGGCCTCTCTAAGCCTTGCAAAGAAAACTGAATTTCTCACGTGATACTTGGCTATGACTTGCAATCACGAAAACCAAGAACTGTGTTATGTCGCTGTGTATTAATTGGTACCTGGAGTTCACACAAGGCTGGGATCAAGGGTTGAATCTTTCATGATTTGCTCCATAATCTATGTGCTTCTTATCCCAGACCAAACTAAGCTTTTGTTTAGAGTTCTACAATTTACAGTTAGTAGACAAGAGTGGTTCTCAGTAATGTCATCTCTGGATTAGCAGCACCAGCAGCACCTGAGAACTTTTCATAAGTGCAAATTCTCAGGCCCTACCCTGGACCTGGTGAATCAGACACTCTGGAGTAGGGCTCAGCAATTTGTGCTGCAGTCATCCCTCCAGGTGTTCAGGGACCTCTGCCATACAGCAGGTAGAAAAATGTGTTTCCTTTTGTATGTCAAAAGCCAGGGATACTCTATGTTGTGTCTCGATATGAAACAATGGCATGCAATTAAAACACATAACTCTCCTTCCTACTCCCACCCTCCATCCAATGTGTTTTATTTTCATGAGTTCCAAAAGAAAACAAGTGGCAATCAGAAGTTCAGTCTAAAAAGTATATGTACAAGTATTAGTTCTCACCCAGCCTTATAGAAAACCATTTACATCCTCTCACAGCTAAAGTTTTAAAAAAGTATCTTCACAATCTAAGTTTCAGGCACACTAGGAGTTCTATAATAAAACACCAAGTAGATCAGAATGTCCAAACTTACTAGAGAAGAAAAGTGGAATCATTGGCTATATTTCCAAATTGCATTCAAAGGAAAATTAAGTTCTGAATTTTTTCACCTTCATACTTCCAAATTAATAGAATTCAACCAGAATACTCCATTCCTTCGAAGCCTCTAGCCAGACAAAGTTTTACCGTATTACTTCTTGCTTTCAATGGATATAAAGCAGAGTCCTGGTAGGCACATTATGTATACCTGCAAAGATGCAGAACTAAAAAGATGCAGAACAGTTCCATCTATTCCATATTAAAACAAAAGTCCTGTAAACCTTGGATGGTGAGTGTAATACTTCAGCACTAGCACCAAAACCTCAAAGATGAGAAGATACCAAGAACAGCAGTAGCAAACAAAACTAAACTCTCTGCCAGGAGCAGTAGTTCACACCTGTAATCCCAGCACTCTGACAAGCCAAGGTGGGAGGATTACTCGAAGTCAAGAGTTCAAGACAAGCCTGGGAAGCATAGGGAATTCTCATCTCTACAAAAAAATTTTTAAAAGCAGCTGGGCATTGTGGCACAGACCTGTCATGCTAGCTACTTGGCAGGCTGAGGTGGGAAAATTGCTTCTTCCCGGGAGTTCGAGGTTGCAGTAGCTATGATTATGGCACTGCACTCCAGCCTGGGTGACAGAGCGAGACCTAGATAATTACATTCTCTCCTGCTCCTGTTTGCACTAAAATCACTAAGTTAAAATGCTTTCAAATTTGGCAGGATAAAAATTAAGTGAAATGTGACTTTGGAGTTTGGAGGAAGAAAGAAAGAAGGAAGGGAGGGAGGGAGGTAGGGAGGGAAGGAATGAAAGGAGGGAGGGAGGAAGGAAGGAAGAAGGGAGAAACAGAAA